GCTTGTTAACAATCATATGATAGGAAAAATGACGACTCCTGCATACAATAGCAGGTGATGTGTGCCTCCATTATATACTTTGAGACCAACAAGAGCTATGCCGTACAAGTGTGGCCATTCCTTCTGAGCGGTATTCAAATGGAATGCCCAAGCATCTACCCGACAAGCCACTAATTCAATGGGCGTGAAATCCGTAATCAACAGACGGAGGGGTTCAGCTTCTCGTACATTACAGTGCTCCACCCACCTCTCCTCCACGTCCTCTGGAACCGCTTCTCCCTTGTCCCCCTTACAAACGTCGACCGTTAGTTCGAGTTTGCCTGCATCAGAAATGTTTTGTACGCGAGTAATAATGAGACGAACGCGCACAGAAGGGAAAAAGTAATGCCTAGCCACTCGAAAGCAACAAATTACTCACCGGGGCTGATGCTAGGATCACCACCCTCCACAAGGCGCAGCTCGGCTGTTGTATGCTGGTACTTCTGCAGGACACACCCAACTTTTGCATCTCATGCGCCAGAAGTCAGTCCGTGCAGCAATACAAACGCATGGTGGCGCATGCTCAGCAGCCACCTCCGTGACGTAAGAAACCTCCGGCGCCTAAGAGCAGACAATAAAATCGATGGGTCGTACCTTGCACGCATCGACCTCGAAAGTTTGAGAAAATCCAATGCCCATGAGCGAGATGTCCTTGAACACCTTGCCCTGTTCATCTGTGCCTTTTGTAATTGTGACAGCGCAGATGTAAAGTAGGAAACGTTTCTTTGGATCTGCAATCGGCAAAATTATCTTCTCTCCAGAAAAAGAGCACATGTAGTTCTCCCCAACGAGCTGGCCTTTCACGGCTTTCGTTCTATTCCGCTTGTGATTTACAACCTAAACACGCAAAGGAATCAGAAAAAGAACAGGGTCCTCCCTTCACTCATAATTTCCACATTCATGAACGTTATTTTCCAACTGTGTACTGCGTGTGCACAGCGGACGAATTCAGCACATGGACGGTCCCTAGCCTCTCAGAGCCTGGCTTTGCAAGCACTGAAAAACAACCACTGAATACAAATCTGCCTGTAACATTTGCAGTTCTGTTTGACATTTGTAGAAAGGGCATAACTGGATTTTGTAAACTCAGGGATGCTACTTACTGCATTCAGGTCGTCGCCTTCGAAGAGACCCACGACGATGAAGTACCTTTCATCATCCTCTTTGATTGCGTCTAGTTTAACCTGCCTGAACAAACGAAAAGCTCGGCCTTCGGAGGATACCAATGCGCACTGCAGTACGCGCCCTGTTAACTGTATGGGGTACTAGCTTGCGGCTCTCATCATGCATGCAATTATGTACTGAAAGTGATCGCAGAGCACGCCAAGACCGGAATAAGTGCTAACTGCGCGAAATCCTGTTCCTGCGCCGCAGCAAGAAGCTGTACGCACGCTGCTCATGCAACACAACAAACGGTTCCCGGGATCAGCAAAGCACCTTCTGTTCATTACCTGTACATGCTCAAACACCTGCTTCACGAACACATGAACGTGCGGATATGTAGAAGGTGTTTGACTTCCTTTTGCACAATGGACATCCCGTTTACTTACTTCAGCCCGCCCAGAGTCACTGTCACTTTGTCACCAGGCTCGGTGTTGCCTCCGCATGGTGCAGGTGACCCTCCCGTTCCAGAAGCACCGCCTGCAGCCTTCCCCGCGCCTTTTGAAATGCCGCTGTTTCCGGAACTCTTCTGTGCTGCGCCTAGCAAATAATTCGCAGAGTAGAGAGGCATGCAAAGCTCAGGCTGTATTCGTGCGCGTGTGTGGATGCTCCTCCTCCCATGAAGTGCAAACAACTACACAACTGCATGCCAAATCGCTCTTGTGCAGATGCACTGATTCAGTCAGATGTGAGCGAAGGCGTGTACACACTAGAGGTGCGGCGCAAAGGGCTCGGAAAAAGCGTGGACCACTCAGGAAAGCTGGTTTGCTGTACACCCCTCGGCAACCCATAGGAACCATTCATGACATTGTGGCCTTTAAATAATATTAGATGAATACAACCTACCACGGAGCCCTTGAAACTGCCCTCCATACGTGGGATTGTACGACATTTTCCAAAGCAGAGGTAGGCAGGAAGCAACGACGATGGCGCTGACTTAGCAATTCAAGTGAACGCAGTAACTGACTGTGGGCAGTTTCCTCTAAAATATGTAAACAAGCCCAAAATAAGAGAGAAATGCGTAGGATATATGATTCTGTTGCCACACAGGACCATGGAAGCCGTGACCTGTGGTTGTTGGCAACACAGCGCTCAGCTCCATCGACGAGAGTTCAACAAAACACCGGCCCAAATGGGTTTCAATGCATTAAGATAATATTCAGAGGAAATTTTCACAATGAATATAAATAAGTAGTATATTGGAAAAGCTCTTGGGCCTTAACTACCAATTTTCCAGCAGAGTTTGTTTGTGTGTTCGTCAGTATGTGGTCGCGTACGTAATACGAATGCATGTGAATTGCAGATGCGTCTACAGGCGCTTGCCCAACCATAGCTATAAATTGTAATATAGTCGCTATTTATTTTGTGGACAGTCCTAAGCAACTAGGTTTTCAGGCAGAAATGTATGCGGCGGTTCCACCGTGCGCCAAGGGCACGCAGTTGCGGCGTTTTCAGGGGAATCGCTAATAGTCTGGCGTATTTTCAACTCTTGATCTCACCAATGCGCTAACAAGGCAATTTCTGACAGTAATTGGAACTTTGAAGACCCGTGTGCGGCGCTTGCCCGCCGGTTCATCCGTTCTGCCTGCATGACCGGCTTGTTTTCCGTCAACTGTCGTATTCTTTTGGATGCTCGCCCAACTTTAAGAATTGCTTGGTCCTTACTATCAGTAGAAAAAAGCCGGGTGATAGAGCCATTGGTATCAGGGCGGATCTCTCCCGAAGGCTGGTACGAGAAGCAGCAGGTCTTCCACAGAACAGGTCGCAGCGAGCCCCACGCAACAGCAACTGCCTGGATGCGTCGACCCGTGGCAGCTCAGTCGTAGAATGGCAGGATATGCATCCTTTAAAAGCTAGGAAAATATTCAAAACCTGCTTTGGCTTTGGAAGCTTCCCAACATTCCCTCATAATAGAGCGTGGCCCCGTACGGCATCAGGCCTAGCTGGCGTTCTGAAGGTGGATGCTAAAAGTGCGCCTAGCAACAGAAACTTTTGTAACCCAGCTTGAAATCGTCTATCATGTAATAGTATGGCTAGTAAAGCCTTAGAATGGTGTCTAAATCTATAAGGGGCTCGGGCCCCATTGACTGCCCCGCACTCCACACGCAGCATGGGACAAGATCCAGCGGCGCACCATTGAAACCTCCACTGCATGGTGCAAAATAAGTTTGTTTCATACTCCAGTGACAGCTTGAGAACGTTTAGAGAAGCTGGAAGCGGAGAAAAAACCTAAGGCACGGTCGCGACCGCTGTGGCGGTCCCTCTGCCAGTCGGTTTCATTGCAAGTCGCACCAAAAACTGTACTTCCCTGGTGCAGACAATGTTTTATGGACTACATTCCGCTGAGACTGATGCAATGGGGACGGCGGAGCCTAGTTGTCGACTGCGTGGCACTGCACCGCGTAGGCCGACACTCACCCTGCTCCTGCGCCATAACGAGCACTCGAGCTGTGAGACCTCATGGTGCAGGCTTGGGTGCAAGGCACTCAATCCTCTGACGGATTAGTCATAAAGCCAAAATTAGTCCAGAGCTTTTATCTTCTAGATGATTATAATCATGTGTGTGTGTCTCTGGCAGATGCAAAGCGCAAATCTACAGGAGCCCCGACCCAAAATGCCATTCCTCTTGAGTAGCAGGAGTCGTGCTCAGTGCACTCTCCAAAGACAAACTAATAATTGAGCGAAATACCGATTAGGCTTTGAATTTGCAATGAAATGTAGAAACATGGCGGCAAACTCGATTGCCTTCTGAAAGACCACTGCGCAGCAAGATTGTAACTCCGGCGTGCTCGCGAACCATTCAGTAAATAACAGCAGGAAGAAACACACCGTGAGAAAACTTTAAGCCCAGCTATAAAGCCGTCATATTAGCTGTATGGTCGAATCAAGTCAGGAAATGCCCAGGCGATATGCAGCCCGCTGTGCTTTACAGACCCGAAATCTAGAGACGGCTGAGAACAGCATCACTTCAGTCGTGAGTTGCTACGCTGCCCAGCGCATTGTGTCCTCATAAATGTTCCTTCTGCAACAAGATTCCCTTCAAAGTTAATAAAGCAGGAACATTCTATAAAATTTGTATCCTTGACACGCTCCTAGGACTACTTTCTGGTTCTTGGCGCTGATCTTCCGCCGAAAGCCCAAACTGGCAAATCAATCGAAAGGCAGGGTAGGCGCACGTGCATTCTAATTTGGCGACTAGAAACTGGCTCATCCACAAAGCATTTATTTTTTGACATTTTTTTCGTGGGGGAAGCCGTTGCTGGACACCCCACTCAGGTGAGCGCTTCATTCCCTCCGAAAATCCTTAGGGACTCATAGACCTCTTAAGGTAAAAAGTGCCACGTGTTTTTTCAAGGGTTTTCCCCCTTTCAGTTGAGGGAGATCTAAGGCCTCAATATCACGCTAAATCCTCACAGACTGAGCGTATGATTCTCTCATGATGTGCTTGCCTTCTTCCCTACTTGTGCCCCAGGTGAGCCAATGGCGAGGTCGCAGTAGACACAATGTCAAGGACTTATTATGCACTGCACCTTAGGTCAAACTTTGTTACATTGCTTCCCTCCAGGTAAAAGCCACGCAGTTTGGGACGCTTCTGCGGTGGCACTGTAAGGAATACAAACTCTACATATCGGGAGAGTCACGGGCGGCCAGTGTGTCCGAGCCAAGCCGAAGAAACCTCGACAATAACCAGGAATAATACTATTCAGAAACAAGCCTACGGCTTATTAACAGTAATCAAGCCAGACTTGACGACAGTGAATCTTCTGACCCCGTAGGAGCGAAAACCATCCGCAGGTCCAATGGACCACCTTAGTGACGGGCTGCCCTTTGCCGGTAAAGTCGACCAAGGGACCCTATCAGTGTCACAGCAGGATGTGGGCCGAAGCTATGCTGGTCGTGCTGTACTCGCCCAGCGCCTTTCGACCAGAAAACTGTTGTCTTCTTCGGCTCGACTTCTAGGTGTGACCTTTGCCTCTTTGGCAGTGGTTCACTTCATTTTGCACTGCTTTCACCTGAGAAACTCTACACCAGCTGTTGTCCCGCCGGGTAGGGGACTAGCAGCTGGCAGCCGCAATCCCTGTGCTTCGGGGTATGTTCCTGACGATGAAGCTGAAGGCGACCCAAGGGCTGACGAGACCAGACGTCAGCAGCAACTCATGCAACGAGATAGCGCCCCACCGTTTCACATCCGTGTAGTAAGCGATGCTCAAGGGAAACAGGGAAAAGACCTGCCCGTAGAGGCTGCAGTTCGAGACGACGACCCTGGAGAAGGAACCAGTTCGCAGTTTTTATCACAGGAAGCCGAGGCGGCAAACAACAGACCATGGGAAGAGGACGGTTTGCCCGACGATATTAGGGAAAAGGCTGTGGATCTTTTTCAGCGGATGATAGAAGTTTCACTGTTGTGCAAAAACCTATTGCCGATGTTAGGTAATGGCCAGCGCTTGCGAATCACGTACAATTTGGTGAGGCTGTTCGCATTGGACATTGGCGCAGTTTTTTGGGTCAACAGGGAATTAGAGCCTATAAGAGCCAGCGTGGGTAACTCGCTCAATCACTTGATTAAATTTGCTCTTCAGCGTAGCGGCAAGGACCCCAAGCAGGAAGATCGTCGCATGGCACTTCGCCGCATGATGGAGTTGATTACTGAACTCAAAATGCCTCATTCTCTCTACAACGCATGTGATGTTCCTGTGTATTTGAAAAAGGTGAATGAAGTCCTGCAAACCGCCGCTCTTACAACTAAACTTTGTTTCGGCGTTCTGAACGGGCTCCTACAGATGAAGCAAGAATCCTACGCGAAACTGCCACAACGAGTGGTAGATCAGCAAGCAACTGTCCTACAAGCAATGTACCATTCTCATTCTGAGCAAGTCTCCAGAGACTACATGCTTAGACGGGTTATTTTAGAGTGCCAGAAACGCAGGGGAGTAACTTTCCTCCTTACGCGTCACCACTACCAGACATCCAAGGCTGCGATTCCTGCGGTAGAGGCCTTGCTTCAATCAATTCTTGATGCTGTCAGAAGCGCTGGCGGTCTCCTGCAGCAGCAGTATAATCCGGCCCCACCCGAACGTCCCGACGATGCTTCCGCAATATACCAGATGCAGTTGGAACTGCAGCGAGAGTTACTTAAATCCCGTGCTTCCGAATCGCAGAATCAGCCTGAATCTCTACCACAGGACGAAGCTGACGTCGACGGCTATGCAGCCCCACCAGCAGCGGTATGCTCACCGTGGGGAACTGTCCAAATGCCCCCGAATGATTTTGGACTGGGCTTGCTGCAGCCAGCGAAACCTGCCACCAGCCTTGGTTATCAGATCCCACAAACAAGTCAGCCGCCTCCTTCTGAGCGCGCGATCGGCTCTTCGGCTTCCCGGAAACACCCATTGCAAGACGTTATTGACGCCCTCAGCGCAAAGCGTGCGTCGCCAACTTTTCCCCCGGCAGCCTTTCTGAGTGTGCCATTTGTAGCACCTAGTCAAACTAGAACTTCTGCCTCGGCGCAAAAAGGCAATACATCCTCGGGCCACAGAGCTCGACTTCGCGCAAGGTCCTCTGCTCAACAGTTTCGGAGTGATTTAGTCACCACACCTACGGTGCCAGGTCTAGTCCCACCTGCACCTCAGCCGTTTGCCACCTACAGCCTTTTTGGAAGCGGTGGCGTCCCGTCCTGGTTACCCTCTTCACTATTTCCAACCGCTTCGGCTCCCATCCCTGCGCCTCTAGCCTTTGATTGCACATTCGGCCAAGGCTTCGCTTACCCCAGCAACAACATGATGGATGCTTTTGGTGGAACAGAAAGCAATAACCAAGATGATTATGAAAATCAAGAGTAATACGCTTCACTTTTCCCGGCAAAAATGGGGGTTCCGAAACTGAGGATCCAGCTGTTGGTGGCTATTTCCGTGCTCTGCAAACAGGGCATTCGGCGTTCCTCTGCAAAATGGAGAAAAAGGGCATGCATTGGGCAAGGCCTGTGCGGCCTTTGTTTCTCGGTGCTTTGCGCGAGGCGAGCATTACCTACTTTGCGGCTCCGTTTCTCCGTCGTTACGCTTTGCTCCCATCTGCTGTCCCTGCACGGGGCGTTTTATTCCGGAAACAGGGCTTTGGAGATGGTGAGACAAACTCCCCAATTTTTTTTCGCGGACGTTCGCCTTTTTTTGGAGCCACGTTATCCTCGAATACGCGATTACATAGCCTGATGCATGATCACTGTCCTTTTGTCAACGTTGAAGCTGAAGCCGCGCGCCGACAAGGCGAAGTGCCGAGTTGAATCGAAGCCTTCGTTCACCGCGGGGTCGATCAAACGGAAACGAAATAATGCAATGATGGAAGATAGAGAGAAATGCCGGCATTCTAAGGCTCGGATTCAAGCGAGTCGCCACAGCATCGCCTCAAGCTGAAGCGACTGCAAGAACTCGGTCAGCCTGCTGCTCTCCTTGAACAGGCGATCTGCTGCTCTCCATGTAAAACGACCCGCTGCCTACTACGCATATGCGCTACATATGCAAAGAAAATGCTGTACTTAGTGGCGCAAGTTGGTGCAACGCGATGGTCGTGGGAGAAAGTGCCGCCTTCACTTCTAGTTAGTGAGCTTTCCCTGGCGCTGCAGTCATGAGCTGCTCTCAGCTTTGGCTCTTATTAATTTAGCGCTTGCAGTTAGTTCTAAGGAGTTGCGGAGGGCTAGCTGAGCCGACCCAACGCCTCCAAATATGTAGACCGAAGGAACAACGAAGACCAGGAGAGTCTACACAAGCAGCTCATGCTAAATTTGTAGCTACGAGACTTGTTCTTTTTACACAGAAAGGCTAAGCAAGAGACAAAGGCCTTACGTTTTGGTGCAAACTTCGTTTCATCAGTATTGTCCATAGCTTTCCATCACGGTGAGCACTTTCTGGACTAGCAAGTGCCAGCGCTTGTTTGCGTGAACACCGTACCTTTATTGTCAGGCGGCGAGCGCGTACATTTTTTAAAATACCCATTGCCTTGCTAGCAAGGACTTAGGCAAGTTACTCGGTCTTAATGCCGCCTGCTCCTTAAATTAAAGTTTTCCCCCCTCTCTCGCTTGGTTAGGCAAGACTTCGTTGGATATCTGTGCAGCTCTGGAGGAACCTTAGCAGCTCAGTGTCTGTTGAATGGATCTGCATTTCATCGCCACTCAAATACTAGAAAACGTTGCCGAGGGGGCGCAAAACCTCAACAGGCTGTGTCATATTTAAAGAGGAGCGGCTCGCTCTCAACAGTCCTTAGCTATAGCTATAAAATTCTCACACTCCCTCTGCTAGGGGGAGTTGCCCTGAACAAAGATGAGGAAATGGGGAAGCGTATGGAAATGGACCACAGCAGACTGCATTGCGCTGGCAACCGGTATTACGTGTAGAAGGAGGCTAGCCCACTTTCCTTTATTTTCTCTGGAATTGCTTTCTGCCCAGTGTGCTTTCTGCGGAAATCCAGCAGCAGTGGAAACTGGTATATCCCACCACGCTGCCAGTGAGGCTTCTGTCCCCGAATACTTTTTGGAAGCAAAGGCACTATCGACCCTTTTTGTCCAGAGTGGACTCTTGCACGTAAAAGCAGCTTAGCGTGTCTATCGCATTGCTCCCTCAGACAATCAATGCTGAGAGTTGTTTGGTGGGGCTAACAATATACCACAAGGGGCTCTATTCAGTCTGTACTTAATAACCTGCGAGAGCACCGAACACTTTTACCTTGCTTGCGAGGCTGTCCTTTGTCATAAAAGAAGTATGTGGATCGGAAGACTTGGCTAGTCGCTCCAATTTGCTGAGAGAAACCCTGAGTGCAAATCGCGGTTTACTTCGACTCTTGCTTAGTGACTATACGAGTCCCGTGCACCTTTGTCCCTCAACACTGCTGTTGTAAGCAGTTTTCTGGCAGCTGGAGGAGCCGGCGCCATGGCCGCAGCGCAACCACCGCAGCTCATTCATGAGGAAAGCTGCAGAGCCCTTCGGTGCAGGAGCTTGTGGTCTTTGGAACTCTCCAAGATCTCTCCTTGAGGAGCTTTACGGCGATTTCTGGTGGCCTGGGACTCCAGCCTCTGCGGCCCGCAACCACGGCCCAGCTGTGAAAAGCAACAAAAAAAAGAAAAAGAGCCGTTTTCCGGCCTTTTCCTTTGTTTGCTTTCTCGGCGGCCTGGCCTTTGCTCTCCCCTTTTTGCAACGGCCAGCGAGGACTTTCGGGAAAATTTTATGTACTTCTATTGTGCTAGCTCCAGCCTTGCACCATTTCGGGCCGATGGGTTTCAGTTTCCAAGAAGACTTGCACAGTAGAAGCTTTCAACTCAGCCCTGCGGCTCTTTTCGTTCTTTCCCTTCACTCGGCTCTAGTCCGTTCTTGCAGTTCCCACTTTACCTTTTTACAAAGTTCAGAACCTCCTGTGAGAACGCCGCATCAAAATGTGCCTATGGCGCTCCCTAGAGATGCCCAGTGCGACAGAACTGCAGCAAGGCAGCTGCAGGGCTGTAGCAGAAATGCAGCAGCACTGCTGCAAGGTTACAACGGGGCTGCAGCAGTCCTGCACAAAGGCTGCGGCAGGGCTGCAGCAGATGCTTCTCAAGGGCACCATAAACAGGCCCCAGCGGCCCCCCTTCTGATCATCTGTGCTCCTTTCCACGAGGCAGGATTCGGCCTTTGAAGAGGTTTAGAGGATCTCAAAGTGTTCCCAACCTCTTGCTTTTTGTTATCCCCCGAAATGCTCTCTCGAGAGCCCCAAGACGTTTCGCAGCAGTCCCATTTACACCTGTTCAGCAGCATGCAGGTGGCTGCAGCAATGGTGCTGCTTCCAGAGGTTTAGGCTGAAGCTGTGGGGCCCCTCTTTGCATGAAGTCTTGGCAGCTCCCACACAGCTTGTCAGGTTGGTTTTTGGCGATTTTCAGATTATTTTTGTCATTTTTGGCGCCTGTTGTATAGATATTTTTGCTGGGGGCTAGTTCTTTGCTAGGAACTTCTGAAAACCATTTGCTAAGAAGGCAAATAAGCCATTGTTTCTGAAATCCCAGGGCGGCTAACTACAAAACTGTGGCTGCAAGGCAAAGTGTGGGGCAGTCAAAACACTCCAGTGCAGCTTTTCCCTGGGACGCTGCAGAGCAGTTTGGCTGCTGCGCAGCTGTTTAATTGTTCTTTCTCGATTTGCCAAAAGTAATGCATAACTTTATGTGGCAGCCTTTTCCAGGAAACCTTCGGATTAAAAAAAACGACGAAGACGGGACTGGGGCTCTGCGCAGCTGCCGAGAGAGCTCAGGAAATGCGAAATGGAAATAGTTCCCAGAGCTGCTGCAGCCGCCAAGGAGCGCACAACAAGCAGCAAGCTGGCCACTTTGTGGCTAATTTGCATTTTAGATGTGTCAAGAGCCTTTAGTAATTTTCATAAGCTCTCGAGCCCGCAAGCTGTGCGTTGCTGCAGCAGCACTACAGAAGCTGCAGCAAACGGTGCAGATGCTTGGCTGCCGCCCATGATCTGATGTCGTGCTAGTTCTTGTTTCTCTCCACCCCACTTTCATTCCATTTCCACTTTATTGTCAATCAACAGAGGCACCCCAGAGGCCCAAAACGTCTAATTGGCGCGAATCCGGAACAGCAGATCTCCGGGCGCTGCTCTGGCCGGCACAGACCAGCAGCGTTGCAGCTGCTGTTGCTGCAGCCGAGAAGCCTCCATAGCCTAGCTGGGTTCCCCCGCGCCGCTAGCTGAAACTGCAGCAGCGCTAGCTGCAGCTGCAGCAGCGCTGGCACAGCTGCAACAGCGCTTGCTGCAACTGCAGCGGAACTAGCTGCAGCTGCAGCAGCGCTGGCGCAGCTGCAGCAGCGCTTGCAGCAACTCCAGCGACGCTAGCTGCAGCTGCACAAGCGGCTAGTGCAAGGAAACAGATTGGTACAAATAGTCATGAATGTGGGGAGTAATATGCTGCAGCAGAAGGCAATTTCGGCAGCAAAGTCTCAAGTTGCGCTAAACCGTGTGTGTGTAGAAGGGAGGTAATAGCCCCTAAAATTCTCAGCAGTTGCTGGCGCTACGCCCTGCAGCAAACCTTAAACTCGCGAGCAAACGAAGAAAAAGAAGATCAAATAAACAACGAAAAGTTGAAAAAAACTAAATTATTTGCCTGTCGCCGAAGACCTCACGGCAGTAAGAAAGGCCATTGGCTGCAAGTGCCCACGCTCCTTCGGTCCCTAGGGCTTACCTTAAACCTTAAACCCTAAACCCTAAACCCAAAACCCTTAGGCGCTGCCCTGCAGTTGGGGCTGCAACAGTTCGCATGCATCATCTAGCTGCAGAAATATGTCTCTTGATATTGCGTCACTTAGGAGAAGACCGTCGGGGGCCAGCAACGCCAAGCGGCAGCCCAGCTGCGCTCCCCCTTTGCTGCTGCTGCTGCTGCTGCTGCTGCTGACTGCGGTGCTGCGACTCTTTAAGAATCTGAGCAGCCGCGTTGCCTTTGAAAGTATTTTTGCATCTGAGTCGTTGGGGTGTATCCGCAGCTGCCACCTTCCCTGTACCCCCGAGCCCAGCGGCTCAAGGCCCTCTGCTGCCAGCTCTTTTTGAAAAGAAGTGCATGCGTCATGGAAGCTGCAGCAAGAATCAGTTGTGGGGCTGCTGCTGCGGCTGTGAAGGCCAGCTTCGCCGCCCGGGTGTACGAACACTTGAATGTCGGCTACTCCCGGACGCCGTAGGAACGCAGCAGCGCCAAGCAGCACTGATGGCAGCACCTGCTGCAGCAGCAGCAGCACCCCGTCCCCATCTCCTGTGGCTGCTGTAGCATTTGCTGCATTTCGCGCTGCTGCAGCAGCTGGTAGCTGCTGCCCCTCGCTGTCAGCAAAAACTGTTGTGCAGCGCAGCAGCTGGTCAAGTGGAGCTTTTCTTTGCGCCAGAAGCAGCAGCAGGCCCTGAACGGCGTTTTCACCGAGCAGCTGTTCCTTTTTTGCTGCTGCTGCTGCTGCTGCATCTGAGAGTTCCAGGAGATGCAGCAAATCAATCCCATTTGAAGTTCGCAGGCCCAGCATCACCAGTTCCTGTATTCGGGTGTATGTCCACTGCGTGAGACTTTCTGCGCCTTCTTCTCCAGAGTGCCTTGAGGGGGCCCGCGCCTCTGACCCTTTCTGGGGGCCCCCTGAGCCTTCTTGGGGGGCCCCCTGCACGAATGCTTTGTAAGCAGCGAGACTGAAGGACAGCAAAATAGCATGCAGCTGGGGCCCAAGGCAATAAGGCTGGAGCATTACAAAATGAAGAATTAAAAAGAATTAAACAAATTAAAACATTTATCATTTATTTGTTTTCTTAAATTAAATGTACCTTTTGGGGTTGGTTCGCCTGCTGCCTCGGACGAAAGAAGAAGCACCAAGACCAAAAGCAAAGACAGTCCCGCCTCCCCAGTAGAGCTGCGAGTGCACGCAGCGGGAGCAGCAGCTGCAGCTGCTGCTGCTGCTGGCGCTGCTGTCGTTGCTGCTGCTGCTGATGCTGCTGTTGGCGCTGCTGCTAAGCCCTAGCTGCTGCGGCCCCCCGGCAACAGCATCTCCGCCTGAAGGCAGTCACACCAAAGCTGATGCCGTGCAGGTAAGCAGATAAGCTCTTCAGAACCTGCTGCTGCTGCTGCTGCTGCAGCTTCCGCTGGTGCAGTTGCTACTGCTGCTGCTTCCTTTGCTGTTGCTGCCGCTGCATCTAGAAGCTGCACTGGACCAGCTGCGGCGCTGCGCTGCAGCTGTCACTGCCTGCGAAGCGCAGCAGCCACCAGCAGCTGCAGCACCGCCATCGGCAGCAAACGGAGCAACAGCCACAGCAGACGGAATCAGAGTGCTACTGCTGCTGCTGCTGCTGCTGCAGCACCCCAAGCCTTTAGGCTTGAGGCACATGCGCAGCAAGGAGAAATAAAAGAAAAACAAGGTTGTTTCTTGATTTGAAACTGCTGCAGCAGAGACCCACCAGCAGCTGTTTTGGCCCCTGGGGTGTACAGACATCTCCGGGCAAAAGACGAAACCTCGTAATGTTCATAACCCAGCTTCTCCAGAAGTCTGCACGCATGGAGACTCTAAACGCTAAACCTCAAACCCTAATTTGTAAACCCTAAACCCTAGAACCTTTCCTCGAAAGGGAGAGAAACTCACTTAGAGGCTGCTGCAAGAGCAGCAGCAGCAGAATCCGCGTCAGGAAGGCCTTTGGGCGGGCGCTGGTGGAAGCGAGAGCCTTCCTCTAGCTGAAGACAGAAACAACAATGCGCTGCTGCTGCTGCTGCTGCTGCTGCTGCTGCTTTTGCTGTTGCTGCTGCTGGTCGTGCTACAGCGGCCGCTCTTCCAAACAGTGCTGCTGCGGCTGTGTCTGCCACTGCTTTCTCTGTCTTGCTGCAGCCAGTGCTGCCACTGCTGCTGTTCATTACCGCTTCGCTGCTTCAGCTGCTGCCGCTGCTGCTGCTGCTGCTGGTGCTGCTGCTGCAGGAACTGCACCTCACTTGGAGCTCATAAAGGGAAACATGACCAACAGGAAGACTGGCGAAAACCCGCAAGTCCCTGAGCAGCTGCTGGGGTGTCTGTACACTGAAAATCAGATCCACAGAGGTCCGGGGCAGCAGCTTGAAGGCGCGCAGCAGCCGCAGCGCATGCAGGCTGTCGCGGACGTGGCTAGGCGCTCGTTTGCTGCTGCTGCTGCTGCTGCTGGTGCTCGCGATGCTGGCGGGAAGCCTTCCCAGCACCTTTAGAGTTGGCTCGTGGAGTGTCTGTACACCCAAAGAGAAGCGATTCACCCCCACCGACAGGTACGCCTGCAGCCGCTCTGCGTCTAGTGTACCTGCAGCAGCAATAGCAGCGCAGCAGCAGCAGCAGCATCCGCAGCACACGGCAACAGTTGTAAGGCAGCAATTTGTGGCTGTCCCTGCATCAAGGCTAGGCACCTAGCAGCGTCGTGCTGCAGCACAGCAGCGCCAGCACCGTGTCGACTTTGTCAGCAGCAGCAGCAGCAGCAGTAGCAGCAGCAGCAGCAAATGCTGGAAAAAAGATATTCACTAGACGCAAGCTGCACGAGAAGCATTTGAATCACCTGGGTATATCTCAATAGACACCTCTGGCTCCTGCTCGCACTTTCTCTGCTGCTGCTGCTGCTGCTGCTGTTGCTGCGGATGACGCAAATGCCTCGCCTCACCCTGAGCAGGCTGCTGCAGCTGCTGCAGGGCGTCCCGTAGATGCTGCTGCTGCTGCAGCAGCCGCTGCAGTTCTGCCTCAAAGGCCTTAATCTGCTGCAGCAGCTGCTGCAGAATTTCCGGAGGCATCAGCGACGGCGTCCCCCCTCCAAAGTAAACACTCCGCAGCAGCCGCTTGGCAGGCGCTGCTGCTGCTGCTGCTGCAGAATCACCAGCAACAACCTCTGTGTCTGCTGCTGGAACAGCGGCAGCAGCTGCTGCTGGACCTGCTGCTGCAGCTGCTGCAGAGCTGTTTACACTGCAGCTGGCTGCGGCGTTGAGGGCTGCCGTTGGAAGCAACGCCTGCAGCAGCAGCTCCTTCGCATCGTCGAGCAGCAGGCTTCCTTGCTGTTGCCGTTTCTGCTGCTGCTGTTCCCACTGCCGCGGGTCCTGCTGCTCCTGACCTTGCTGCTGCTCCTGCTGCTGATGCTGCTGCAGCAGCTGCCGCAACTGCTGCACGCGGCGTTTATGCGCCTGTAGAAAAGCTCCGAACTCTGCTGCCATCTCCTGCTGCAGCAGTGGGAGGTACTGTGCTGCTGCTGCTGCTGCTTTGCTGCTGCTCGGCAGCAGCGCGATCGGGAAGGCACAAAAATGGCACCGGCGCAGACAGAACGGCAGGTGTATGTACACCCCGAAGGCATCTTTATCGACGAGCTCTACGCTGTTGCTGCTGCTGCTGCTGCTACTGCTGTTGCTGCTGCTGTTGCTGCTACCGTTGGTGTGGCTGCGGCTGGTTGGTTCGTAGCTGCCGTTGCTGCTGCTGGCCTGAGTGTTAGCAGCGCTCGTCTCACACTCACGTTTTGCTGCTACGTGCAGATTTCGCATCTTTTTCTGCTGCTGCTGCTGTTGCTGCTGTTGCTGTTGCTGCTGCTGCTGCTGTTGCTGCTGTTGCTGTTGCTGCTGCAGCTCCCGACATACTCCGATAGGTGATGAGAGAGCAGCGGAGACCTCCTGGCCGTTGGGGAAAACTTGAGCCGATGCTGCTGCTGCTGTTGCTGCTGCAGCAAGCTGCCCACAGCGCCGCTGCTGCTTCTGCAGCAGCAAGAGATGCAGCCTCTGGGCGCCGCAGCAGTATGCCATAGGGGGCCCCCTGGGGCCCCCTCCCCTTTTGAAAACTGCAGCAAGCATTGAGGGTTCTTTGGGGGGGCCCCCTGCAGCTTTAGGCAGCAGCACAGACACGGAGAGTGGCAGCAAAGACAAACACGCAAACCCTAAAACCCAAAAGGACAGGGGCCCCCCAACAGAGGGTCCCCCTTTCCAGGGGGCCCCCAAGGGCCCCCCTCCCTTCCAAGGAGCCCCCAAGGGGGCCGTTGACTTCAAAGGGGCCTCCAAGGGCGCAGGACCCTTCCAGGAGGCCCCCAAAGGGGGCCCCCCAGGCGCTGGTGGGTATCGCGGGGGCCCCTGGGGGGGAAAGTGTCTCATTTGGCAGCCCTGAGGCGCCCGAAATTTGAGAATCTGGAAATATATTTGTCATTAAATGTCATTAAATGCATTTGAGTTAATTAATTCCACTAAAAAGTGTTCAAATGACCCAATGGGGCCCACCGAGCAGGCCGATCTGACCTTGGTGACCTTCCCCTCTCCCAAGGTCACCTCTTCAGTGAAAACAATTTAAGTGAATTCTTTTAGTTTATAAATTGAATCTTATGTTACAAAACTCCCGCATTTAAAAAGTTCTTCTCTAAACAAATCCATTCAAAATTATGTTTATCTTGCCCACGACTCTGGGGGCCCCCACGCCGCCACAACCCTGGGGGGCCCCTGAGGCCCCCGGGGCCCCTGGGGGCCCTGGAAGCTTTGGAGGCCCTGGGGGCGCTGAGGGCCCCCCTGGGGCCCCTGAGGGTCCTGGGAGGTTCCTGGGGGCTCTGTGGGGCCCTGTGGGGCCCTGGGGGGCCCTGGGGGCCCTGGGGATCCTGGGGGCCCCCAGGTCCCCAGAGCTGTAGACTCTAGCAGCGGTAGGGGCTTGAGGGCTGCAGCCCGTGACGCAGCAGCAAGGGTTAAGGGTTTAGGGTTTAGGGTTTGAAAGTGACTACTCCCACGCTGGGCCCTGGGGGCCCCCTGAGGCCCCACTGGGGCTCCAGGGGGCCCCCCGAGGGAGCTGGAGGCCCTCGGTATACACAATTTGGACTAAATTTTTGGCATTTAGAATGAAATGCATTATTTTATTTGTTTGTAGAATGAGATTGAGTCTATTGGGGCTGGAGAGGGAGAAAAAAGGAAAAGAAATGAAAGTGCTGCTGCTTTTCTTTGCGGAGCTGCAGCAGGAAGTGCGGGCGCTGGGGTGTACAGACAGCTCTGCTGCAGCAGACCAGCGAGTGGCCTATTGGTCCACTGCCATGGCACTTCAATTAAAGACAAAGTTGAACTATATTTACATGTAATTTTGGGGAATTTGAATTAAAGAAAACAAATCCTAAAGCTGCTGCCTTAATTAAATCCCTTTCAATTTAAAAAAGCAAAAAAAAGGATTTTAAATTAAACAAATTTAAACAAAAATGGGTTTTTTTGGTCCCCTCTGCAACCCGTTGTGCTGCCATTTGCTTCTTTTCTTTCTCTCTTGATTATTTTGTTTCTTCCTTTTCTTCTTTATTTCCTTTTCTCTGTTTGTTTTGTCTTTAATTTCATTTCTTCTTTTTCTTCTTTTTACTTCTTTTCTCTTATTTTCTTCGTCTCTTAGTCTCTTTTTTTTAATTTCCTTTTCTTTCTCCTTGTCCTCTCGTTTTTGATTTCTCTTTATTTATGTCTTAACGTTTATCTTTTGCTTATTTGCTCCTTTTCCACCTCAAGTGCCAATTGCTTAAAACATTTAAAGACACTTTTGAATATTTCTTTTCAAAAATGGCAAAAAGCCAGTTTGCAGTTCTACATATGTATATCTATCTATATATAGATATATATATATTATATAAAGTTTGCTGCAGCTGCTGCCTCACCCCAGGGAGACGAGGCAGCAGCAGCAGCGCTGCAGCAGCAGCTGCGGCAGCGGCTGCAGCAGCACCGGCCTCTGGGGAGGGCCGGAGTTCCTCTGGGCTGCTGCTGCCGTAGCAGCAGCAGACAGGGGAGCATCAGCAAAAGGTAGGGAGGCAGCAGCAGCAAAGGACAGGGCAGCAGCAGCAGCAATGGACAGGCAGCAGCAGCAGCAAAGGACAGGCAGCAGCAGCGGCAGAAGACAGGCCAGATACAGCAGGAGATAAGGCAGCAGCAGCAGCGGCAGAAGATAGGGCAGAAACAGCAGCAGCAGAAGGCCCGGCAGCAGCAGCAGCAGCAGCAGAATCAGAGACCCTCTGAGAGGCTTTAAGTAGCCGAGGGGTAGGCCGCCGCGCTGCTGCTGCTGGCCAGCTTGGCTGGAAATCTTTGCTGCTTCACACTACAGCAAAAGCAGCAAAATTGCAAAAAGGACCAGACCAGTGGTCACCCTGCAGCTCCAGTGCTGCTGCTTGTTCGCAGCAGGGAGCTTCACCGAATTCGTAATTTTCAAACTTGAACTGGGCAGCTCAGCGGGAGTTAGGGAGACCCCTGTGGCTCATTATAATCTATTTTAAAGAAATAAAGATAATTAAAAATCAAAAAAAGAAGAAAATTGCAATTTTTCAACTCCATTTCGTCCGCGGACTCAAAGGTGAGCTGTGACGCACAGCCCGGCGTAGCGAGAGGCGCTTCGCACTGAGACATGTCTTTTAATGCCAAATTCGTCGAGAAAAATAAAACAAAAAGATAAATTCAAAATTTAAATTATTATTTAAGTGGCTCTGCGTTTTCTGTCGGGTGCCTCGAGGCGGGCATTGAGCGGGCTGGGGTGTACAGACACCTGCGGGTTCTCAGCCGCCGCCCCAGCCCGCCTCGAAGCCGCTTCGTCTCACTTTTGTCATTTTTGAAATTAAAATAATTCAAATATTTAGCTGAACTGCTGCAGAGGACAACTTGCTGCTGCATGCACAGAAGCCAGCACGAATAGGGCTGAGCGGGGGCCCCCAGCCGACAGTAGCGCCAGCACAACTCATTTAGGGGGCCTCCGAGATCTATGCTCCGGGCTGCAGCTTTTAATTCATGTTGTTTGTGCCTGTGTCCCTTTTTAATGGCTCCAACATCCGCTGCAGCAGGCAGCAGCAGCAGCAGCAGCAAGACCATCCCGCCGCCAACCCTTTAGCCAGCTGCTGCAGCAGCAGCGCACCCTCAAAACAGCTGACTCTCAGCAGCACCTAGACCTCATTGACTTTTGAGGAGGGGGTGTTGGCCTAAGAGACCGCTGCGCCAAGCAGCAGCAGCAGCCGCAGTGGCAGCAGCCGCGGGACTAACCGCAGGAGCAGCAGCAGCGGCAAGAGCAGCAGCAGCAGGACTCGCGACCGCAACAGCAGCAGAAGCAGTAGCAGCACGGATCTCGCAGCAGCAGCAGCACCACGATTCGCAGGCGCAACTGCAGGACGACTCGCAGCAGCAGCAGCAGCAGAACTGGACGACTCGCAGCAGCAGCAGCAGCAGAACTGGCAGCAGCAGCAGCAGCAGAACTGGCAGCAGCAGCAGCAGCAGCAGAACTGGCAGCAGCAGCAGCAGCAGCAGTTTCCTTGTTTGGGATGGCGCACCGCCGTGGGCTGCGCCCAGTTGCACGCAGCAGGTTCTCGGGGGCCCCTGGGGGCCCCTGGGGCCCCCGAAACTGCCTGAGCTTTTGAACTGAAGCTCTTCAATCTGCTGCTGCTGCTGCTGCTGCTGCTGCTGCTGCAGTTTAGAAGATGGTTGGCTCCTCAGCGGCCCACGGCAAAAGCATTGTTTGCTGCTGGGGGGCTTTCTTAATAGGGTGAGATTTAAAAGAATTAAATTTTGAATAAATGAATTATTTGAATTAATTTAAAATTGAAATAAATCTAAAATTAAAACTAATTAAATTTAAAATGAATTCAAATTCATAACTGGGAAATTAAATCCATCAAATTGCTTTTTTTTCCTTTTTTTCCTTTTTGGATCTTTTTGTGTCGTTTTTTCTGTTCTTTTTACAAATCATGACAGCTTCAAACGAAACCGTTTCAATTTTATTTTTAATTGCATTTATTTCCATTTTATTTCCATTTTAATTTCCATTTTGTTTTTTATTTTTATTCTTTTTTTCTTTTTTTAGGCCCGACTACCGCATGGCTGCTGTTACTCTTTTTCTCATAATTGTTCCTTCCGCTTTCTACCAGGCCTTTACTGCGCCAGTGCGTAAAACGCTTTTCAAATCTTTTTTTTTGGATCCTTTTTTATCTTTTTTGGATCTTTTTGAGACTTTTTGAATCTTTTTTGTCCCTTTTGTTGCTTTTTGTGTTTTTATTTGTCTTTATTTGCCTTTATTTGCCTTTATTTGGCTTTATTTGGCTTCATTTATGTTTGTTTGTCCTCTTTAATCTTTTCAGATCTTTTTCTTTTGTGAGTCTTTTTTTCTCCTTTTTGAATCTTCGTCTTTTTTGAATCTTTTTCATCTGCTGCTGCTGCTGCTGCTGCTGCTGCTCCTTGGCGCAGCGGTCTCTTTTATTTGTTTTTATACCTTTTATTTCCCTTTATTTGTTCATGTTTATCTTCATTTGTTTTTATTCGTTTTTATTTGTTTTTATTTGCTTATTTTGCTTTTTTGTATTTTGTGTTTGCTTATTTGCCTCCTTTTGTTTCTTTTTGTTTCTTTTTGTTTCTTTTCGTTTCTTTTTGTTTCTTTTTGTTTCTTTCATCTCTTTTTATTTCATTTATTTCTTTTTATTTCATGTATTTCGTTTTATCTTCTTTAATCTTTTTTGTCTTCTTCAGTCTTGACTGCCTATATGCTTTTGTTCTCTGCGCAACACGGCTTGTGGGGTTTAGGGTTTAGGGTTTAGGGTTTAGGGTTTAGGGTTTGGAGTTTAGTGTTCAGAGGGTTTCAGATTCAGACTTTACGGTCCAGGGGTCAGCGTTTCGAATTTAGGATCTAGCGCCTTGGGTTTTTCAGGCTTTAGGGTTTAGGGTTTAGGGTTTAGGGTTTAGGGTTTAGGGTTTAGGGTTTAGGGTTTGGGTGTTGCGCTGCAGTGGCTGGTGGCGCGTTACGGCGAGGGTTTGCGTTTGGTGTCTTTGTGTCTTTTGCTGATTACAATTTGCTGCTTTGCTGCAGCAGCAGCAACAGACCCCGGCATTATTCCCCGCCATGTGCTTTTAATTAATTAATTTAATTAAATTAATTAAATTAATTAATTCAATTTAATTTAATTTAATTTATTTAATTCGGTTTAATTCAATTTGGTTTAGTGTGATTTAGTTGGATTTAATTTGTTTGATTTGGTTTTGTTTGATATATGTTGTTTCTTGTTTTATTTGTTTATTTTATTTATTTTGCTATTTTAATTTTCTTTATCTTGTGGCTTCTGCTGTTTATATTTATATTTATATTTATATTTATATTTATATTTATATTTATATTTATATTTGTATTTATATTTATACTTATTTTTGGTTCTTTTTGTTTTCCTCTTTGCCTCACTAATTGTTTTTCCAATTATCTTTTTTCATTTTCAATTGTCTCTCTGTGTTTATTCAATTTTCATTTTTAATCTCTTATTTAACTCCTTTGCCTTTTTATTTATTTCTTTTGTTTCTTTAATTTTTTCTTCTTGTCTTTTCAATCTTTTTTATCTTTCCTACTTTTTTTTATTCTTACTTGCATTCACTTATTTTGTTTTACTTTATTTTTATTTTTATTTTTATTTTTATCTTTATTTTTATTTTTATTTTTATTCAGGAAAGTCCTTTGATGGTCACAGACCCCACCACGAGACAGGTAAACCCTAAACCCTAAACCCTAAACCCTAGGAATTAGGCGCAGCCGTTCTTTTGCTGCTGCTTCTCTTTCTTGACGTAAAGGACAGCAGCACCCCGCCCAATGCTGTTGCTGCTGCAGTTGCTGCTGCTGTTGTTGCTTCTATTGCTGCTGCTGCTGCTGCTTCCATTGCTGCTGCTGCTTCTGCTGCTGCTGTTGCTGCTGCTGCTGCAGAGCAGAAACCGGTTGCCTCCCCGGCACCAAGACGTGCTGCTCTTTGCTCACCCAGTGCGCCTCAAGTACTGTTCAACCTGTAAACCCCAAACCCTAAACCCTAAACCCTAAACCCTAAACTCTAAACCCTAAGCTCAGAACCCCTCTTTTCTCAACTTCGGTCGTTGTGAGTGTTTTCTTCTGCGCGTTGCTCGTTGGGACCCGCCTCTGGCGCTCAGGGCCCCGCGCCTAGGGTAGGGTTTAGGGTTTAGGGTTTAGGGTTTAGGGTTTGTGGTTAGGCAGCATCTACAGACCCCCCAGGTCTGTGCACTGCGCCGTCTGCGATAACTGCGTCGAGCGTTTTGACCACCACTGCCCCTGGGTGGGAAACTGCATAGGCCGCAGGAACTACCGGTAAACCCTAAACCCTAAACCCTAAAC